TTCCCACGGCCAGAGTTCCGACCTCCGCCGCCCTCGCGTTGTCTCCGCGAGGCCACCGCTGCCGGGCCCTCCCCGGAGCTTTTTGTGCTTGAACCGACCCCATTCGTCTCTTCGTCCGACCTGCCGAGCGCCCGGCGCCAACTGTTGCAAGTTCCGTACAACTGTTTTCTCTGAACTTTGCAGTCGAAACTGCTCCTCCCTGGAGCCTGTTTAAGCAGCAGAAATTAAAAGATGCCCGTGGAGACTAATTCCTAAGGTTTTCAAAGGTGAAATAGATACATGTTTACTTGAAAGACATCTAGTATTTGTAAACCAAGAAGAAAAAATGAACGCAAGCGTTTTAAGTTAAACAAAACTAGGTTTCCGCTAGCAAGGTTGACCATAGGTGAAATTCTCAAGGTTTCAGAAAATTTTGTAAAATTAAAATGGATTTCAAAAGACGAGTTCTTAAAGCAGGCTGTTAGTAAATGCTCTAGTTTCGGAGTCAAAGAGAAATATTTTTAGTGAGTAAAGGATTTACAACTGCTTACTGTAATAATTCAATCACCCTGAGAAGGGAAAAGGAGAATGAAGAGAAAATAAGAGAGATTAAATTTTTAAAAAGGAAAAAAGATTCTTCAATACTATAGACTGATACCTCAATGCAATACAATAGGAGTGGAACCCCAGGATTCTTGGCCTCTTCGCGGCCTAAGATTAAGGATAGTGTTTTCCTGCTTTTAGAAACAAATTTGTAGACTTAGTTTTACTTACTGCAGTAGGTAAAGGAAAGTCATTAAATATTTGACACCAAAGATCCTGTTGATGTACTTATTGATTGACATCTTTCAATAGGTAGTGTTTCTGGTTCTCAACCAGGAATTTAACAGGTGGATGGAGGTCGGCTTCTTGGGTTAGCTTTAAAATCCATGGATAGAAGGTGACCTACCCCCCCCCCCGTGCTCTTTACACATTTCTAAAAAGTTCAGTTTTTCATTGGTTTAAGTCTATTGTCAAATGAACAAGCTATTAAGTCAGGAAGTTCCTGTGTGGTAAAAGGAGAAAAGAAATAGATAAAATATTACAAATGACCTTTTGCATGCGATGTAAAAACATCTTATATCATCAACCTGAAACTCACTCTCTTCGCCACTAGATGGTAGGGTTGAGTCTTTATTGGTTAAGCAAGTTTCTTTGGGGGAAGTAAAACTTTGTATAAATAAACTGCGTATAAATCTGACATGAATTAGCAATAAATTACTTTATAATCACCCCACATCGCTTGTTTTAAAACAAACCAAGGATAATACTTCCTTACTATAATGTATCTTAAAAGGTCTCAGACATAGAGTCAGAGAATTCTAGAGGCTTCAGAGATGAATTTTAATTTGAAGTATGGATTCTCTCATTTGAGATATGGAATTGGAAGCCAAGACAAATAAGGTGACTGGACCAAAGTTACATAGTTGCTAGATAGACAAAATCTAAGTGACAACTTCTCAATTCCCAACTTTGTTATTTCTACTACTACACTTTGAATTTCAATTTCTGCTTCATCTATTTTATGGGGACCAACATATAGTTGACTCCTCACAAAAGTCTATTTTGGAAGACAGGATGATGAATAATAATAAAGGTAGTATATTGAGTACCTACTATGTGCTTAGCCTTACAGCATGATTTCATTCCACCTGAACAACAATACTATGAAGTAGGCATTCTTTTACCCCAATTTCCAGTTTAGGGGCTCAAGACTCAGAAGAGTGCAATACATTGGGCCAAGTTCACATAGCTACCAAATAGCAGAAACATATTTTTGTTGTTGTTGTTGTTGAAACAGAATCTTGCTATGTAGTTCACGCTGGCCTTGAACTCGCAATGTAGCCCAGACTGGCCTCAAACCTGTGGCAGTCTTCCTACTTTAGCATTGCAAGTGCTGGGATTACAGGCTTGCTGCACCACACCCCACAACCAGATTTCTAAAATATCTCTGACTAAACTCTCATCTCTCTAAATTGTTCTGTAAGTTAGAAGCAGGAATCAGCAAGCAGAGGATTCATTTAATCACTTATGAAATGACCTACACACAGTGAGCAGTTGAACAAACATTCTACCATATGTCAGGCCATGGTCTAGGCATGATTTCTCACCTCTATTTCTGGAGGCTATCCTGGAAGAAGGCCTCATCTGTAAACCCCTTCCCTTTACTAGGAGAGTCAAGCAATAAAATATGACAGTTAAGAGAATAGACTCTGAGGCCCAGTTTTTAGCACAGTGGCACTGTACCTGCCTCGCAAAGTGTAAGGTCCTGAATTTGATCCCTGGTACCAAAGGGGGAGGGTGGAGACTCTAAAGACAGAGCTTGATTGGAATTCTGGCTCCATCCCTTATGGCTATGTAACATTAACTAACTTTTTTGGCCACCAATTTCTTCAAGTTAAGAAAAGCATAATAATAGTGTGTAAGATGGAATTTATGTGAAGCTGAAATTAAACAATCCTTGCACAGTGACTGGCCTGACTGTGGCATGAAATGAGCATCAGATTCCGTGGTTAGACCTTCTTAAGTGCCTACGTGCTTGCCCAGTCTGCAGGGGGCTAAGGTGCTTGTGCAATTTGTTGTTGAAAACATTCCTTGAGCTATGTTCTGTACTTCTCAAAGTAAGTTCCAAATGATAGGAAAAAATGGAGCACAGAAAAAAATACCAGAAAAGTAAAGTAGACTCCTTCCATAGAACTGGGTTTATTAGTATTAGATCAACCAGCACCTTGTGTCTGATTAATTGGAAACGGCATGGAGTAGGGAAATGGCCATGAATAAATTGGAAATTAAATAGATTGAGGCTTTCTAAAGGGTGAGAAGCATAAGGGGAGCCACGTCACTTGGTGGCTTGGCATTTTTTAGTATCTACTCATATAGGGGCTTTTTGCTTAGTGAGAGATCTTCAGAGTTGATAGCTATTACTATCTTCACTTTCTGGCTGCAATGAATAATGGTTGTATGAAAGTATGTGTACAAGATTTTGTGTAGACATACATCTTTGTGTTTCTTTTTATTTATTTATTTTTCATCATTGAGTTTATTGGTACATTTTAGGTATACAGTACAGTTACATTCATTATTGGGATCTTGTACCTTTACATGACAGGTCTTGATTCTCATTTTTTCTCCTTGTCCCTGCCCTCCCTTCATCCCCTCCTCCCCTGCCCATTTACAAACACTTCATTTCCATTTTTTCATTTGCTCATTATCTTTTCCCTTATTGCCTTACCCCTACCCTTCCCACTTTCCCTACACCTTTAGCCCTTTTCTTCTTATTTCACATTGTCAATTATATCATTAGGATCTTATGTATTATTATAGTTTTTCACACCAGAGAAACTATTCAGTATTTACACATGTGTGACTTATTTATTTCACTTAGGAGTATATCCTCAATATGTATCCATTTTCCTATGAATGAATCTAATTTCTCATTCTTTATGGCTGAGTAGTAGTCCATTTTATAGAAAAACCACATCTTCTTTATCTAATTTCCAACTGATGGGCAAATGGGCTGTTTCCAAGCTTTAGCTATTACAAACTGTGCCGCTATAAAGATAAGTGCGCATATATCTATGTGATATGATTCTTTTAATTCTTTTGGAAAGATACCCAGCAGAGGGATGGCTGGGTCAAATGAAACCTCTAGTCCCAGTAATTTGATGTATCTCCATATTGAATTCCACAGTGGTTGCACCAGTCTGCACTCCCACCAACAATGGAGAAGGGTTCCTTTCTCCCCACAACCCCCGCCAACATTTGTTATTGTTTGATTTCTTGATAGCAGTCATTCTTTGTGGGGTGAGGTGGAATCTCAGTGTTGTTTTCATCTGCATCTCTTGAATGACCAGTGATGTGGAACGTTTTTTTCATATATTTACTTGCTGCTCTTACTTCTTTGAGAAATGTCTGTTCATTTCAGATGCCCATTTTTTGAATCAGGTCTTTATATTTGCGGGGGGGGGCTGGTTGTTTTGAGTTCTTTATTTATTCTAGACAAT